CATTTGCAATATTACCGAAAAACTGACGTTCACAAGAAGGATTTTCATTTAGATTTGATAAAAAAATAGAAATATTAGTTTGGCTCGTGGACTTCTGCGAACATTATCACACGCCGTACATGTATGTTCCAAAGAAGCTTTATGGTTACGACAGCCTCGCGTGACGTTCCCAAAATTGTTAAATCCCTCCTTATTCCACACGCCCGACTTTACACGCACAATTAAAAACGGCATACAGAAAAGTTTTTTTTAAATAAACACTTCCACACAACCACTTTTACACTGAATACGATTCATTCCGAAACTTCCTCGTCGTTTGACTTTCCCTTTTTTCCATATCGAGAATAAGACATAGGCCTCTCGCAATTTAAAAAATCCTTTTCTCCTCAATTTTCCATCTGGAAAATGGCGTTTCAAATAAAATACATACTAGATCAAACATGAGAAAGATTTCTACAATTTTATACAAAACAAATATTAACTAAAAAGCGTTATAATCGTGCACTAACGGAAATGTTAGGTGAAGCGGTGCGTTACTTGCGTCACCTGACGAGTCGCCACTGATTTAAGCGAAGCGAAGTAGCCTCGCAACAGGATATCATTCAAGAAAAGTTTGGTTGTGGTTAAGAGTACGTCCATAATAAACCACTTGAAACAAAATAAGAGAAAATACGCTAATGATGACATATCAACAAGATCTCACCGGTGTATGCAGCTATTCTTTCCGAGCATGCGCATTAGGAATAACACGGCTAATGTTAAATTTTTATTTAAATTTAGGAATATTCTTCTGTATCGTTTTTTGTAAGTTTTAAGCACATTAGTGAATCTATTTTACGAAACACGTGTTGGTTCTTAAATACTTCCAAATCCTTGTAAAAATAAATTGTTCATTGTTATAGTATCTATGTAAATAGTACACAAGGGTCAGATTCGGTTTGTACAATTTCAACTATGACAATCTGTTTCGGATTGCCTAAATATGTGACGTCATACTAAAAGAGTACATATTTCCGCACACACCCAGTAACATAAACTGTCACGTGAACCGAACTTTTTTGCAAATTTTATTAAGGGCTAGATAGTGTCTAATTTTCAGTTTCCCAGTGCTAGAAATGGAAATAACATGTATCTTCCTGACAAATCATCGCTCAAAATTGTAACGAAATTTGAAAGCTAATGAATTGAGATTACTGTTTGCCATTGAACCCACGTCGGATCTCGACCTCGGTGGTTTCCCTAATGATGTATCGCCGTAATAATTGCTATCCAAACAGGTTTTTAAAAAATTTATATGATTAAATAATTACCGCCTTGGCTTTTTGCACTTCAGCATTGGAAAATTCCTCTTCTAATGGTGATAAAACCGCATTCACCAAAGTGAGGACATGCTTTCTTTAAAAAATATATACTTACCAGTGTGATATTTTCTTTTACAAATATGTAAATAAATACAGCTAGAGCTTGTAGAATTTATTTCTAAAGAGCAAAGTTCAAGTTTGTTGCTCTTTTTTTTATTCAGCAATAAATTAGAATACGTTTACCTTTTGTTCTTTGAGAAAAAAATGCACTATATTTACTATTGTAACTTCTAACACGTTTTAATAGTATCTTACCACATTAATATGTTTGATGAATTATGAATACAACAAATTGAAATTTAGTTGTACCGGATATTCCTATAACATGAGTTCGAAAACGCTTTCGTAAAAAAGTAAGATAGAGAGGATATGTTTTATTTATTATACTTCTTTGAAAACACATTATTTTCATCTGTATGTATTAATAATAATGTAAGATGGGCTTCTTCGGGCTAGCGCACGGAAACAGCGCAAGGAAAAAGTTTTCCCTATAATACAGCAGGAAAATTAGCGAAAATAAAAGAGAAATTCGAAAAAGTCCTGCGAGATTATTGTAAAATTGTCTAAAGGAACATAATACAAGACATCTCTCATCTCGTGAGTCAAAAACTTTTATTAACTAACTTTTCTATTTAAACAAATAAGTAAGGAAAACAGTTTTTTCACTGTGCAGGGAAAACCATCAATTTTAGCGAAAAGTGACTCATAGGCAGCTTATAGGGAGTAAAATTATCTACAAAATGAGACTTGTTAAATTAAAATCGGTTAATAAACAAAAAAGTTATTGCAAAAAAACGAGAAGAGTGCCCATTTTTTAATTTGTTTTTAACTATCGCATTTATTGTTAAAATGTTATAAAATCTATGACAAGTTGAGGGTTTAATTAAATAACTAACAAAATATTGAAAAAATAAGTTTACTTTGGCTTAATATGTAAAAAAAATAACTTTTTAAATGAACGATAGCTTCATTTATTTATTTAATAATAGTAAAATAATTCCGAAATTAAAATTTTAATTAATATTTCGTTTAACAATAATTTTTGTGACATTTTTGTAAACTAAAAAAAATTAAGTATAAAAGATGCATTTCTTTTGGGGTTCAGGGCTATTCTACGAATTCGTAAATATGCCCATTGTTATTTTTTCGTCGAGCTACCCCAGTTTAAAAAAAAAAGAAGTTTCTACGATGAATAGAAGCCGAGATATTGCAAAATTTACAGCGCGCATCAATTTGAACTTTGGATTTCACTTTTCTCGCGCGCGCGACTCGATTGGACGAGCTTCCCCCATCACCACGCCGGATAGTTTACTTAGCAAGTACCTTCTCTTTAAAGGGCTCGTGAGTCGTTAATTTTCCACATTTTTCAATGCAATTCACGGGAAATCGTAGTTTACGTCGTAAACTTTATTTTGCGAAAAATTCAAGTCTTAATATTTATAAACAATTGCGCTACGATTTTTTAAAAAAAGATTCTTATCTTGGCTCCTGTTGGTCGTAGAGGGCACTTTTTTTATTTTAAAACTGTATTTTTTTTCCAGCTATCCATTGCACCTATTTTCGGTGAGATAGCATAAATAGCAACAATGTTATTCAAATTGTTTATAAGCGAAAAACGCACGGTTTTTTAATGCACAATTTGAGAATGTTAATGTCAAAAAAACGGTGATATTTTTTAATAGGTCGCTTAATTACGTCTTTAAGATTACAATGACGCTTTCAGAATCATGTTTGGTTGAAAATTAACGCCTGTACAGAGGCTTAAAGTTCATAACTTTTGGAGCCTCCGTTATAAACAAATAGAATTGTGCGAAAACTATTGCACCTACAGCGCCCACTTTTGGCACACTTTTGAAGTATGACAAAACCCTCAATTTGTCATAGGTTTTATAAAATTTTAACAATTAATGCGATAAAAAATGGGCACTTTTCTTGTTTTCTTGCAATAACTTTTTTGTTTATTAACCGATTTTAATTTAACAAGTCTCATTTTCTAGATAATTTTACGCCCTATAAGCTATCTGGGAGTCACTTTTCGCTAAAATTGATGGTTTTCCCTGCAAAGTGAAAAAACTGTTTTCCTCACTTATTTGTTTAAATAGAAAAGTTAGCTAATAAAAGTTTTTGATTCACGAGATGAGAGATGTCTTGTATTATGTTCCTTTAGACAATTTTACAGTAATCTCGCGGATAGGACTTTTTTCCAGTAAAAATTTAATTTGCTTGGTCTATAATCGATTCCTTCCGTGCGCTGAATAAAAATACCAAATACATGTAACCCGGTCAAAATAGCTCAAAAAATAGGGGTAAGCTTACAATAATTCGCATAAAGCTGAAAATTGGTAAGAATGTTGGGAGGACCATTATAAATGAAATGTGAAAAGTCTCCATCGATCCCACATCTGCAAAAAAATTTATTCAAGATCAAAGTTCACAAATACGTATGGGTTATTTACATATTTCAGCCAAACGCTACCTAACGTTTCATCTTAAAAATAAGTCTGACAAAAATTGTAGATCAAACAATTATCTATAAAAATTGTTCTTACAGTTTTTTTACCTAAGAATCATGACATAGCTAATACGATGCGAAACATCGCCTTAATGTTAAAAATGTTGTCGCCGCCGTTCTTGGTGGTGAAAATTCTAAATATTTGGAATTATTCAAATTTCGTGGCTGAAAACATTCATAGGTATTGTATCAGGAGCTGTCATTATTAATAGTTAGTTAGGTAGTTAATTTTCAATATTCTTACTCTACATGTTTTTTTTATTCCCATAACTCTTATGAAAATAAAAATGTTCTAAGTTTTTTTCGTATGTCTTTTTTTATGTTATATTTTGTTTTTATGTTTTCGTTGCCATAGCATAAAAAAAACCCAGTACACATCCAGAAATAGATTTTTCCGTGATTCCATGAGAATTTGTCACACGTGTACGGAAAAATCCTTATTTCCAGACTCCTAATGAAAGATAGGTACTATTCTTATCCACAGGAATAGATTTAGACAGGAAATATGACACACTTCGGGTGATGATTTACATTTTTATAATTTTATGTATTGGTGTACCTATCACTCTTATTTTGTATATGTATAAATTTTTGTGTGATGCTTTTTCCAGTTCTGTGAAAATAAAATGATTTGTAAAATCTTACGTCACAGAATTACAATAGTTGTTTTTTTCGTGGCCAGGTATTTAAAGAATTATAATTCAAACCTAATCTTACGTCATATCGCAGAAGTATTCATTTGTACCTAAACTATTAGGTAATTACGCCGGAAAAGTGTTTATTTCTATTTCTTAAATTTTTCCATTCCAATGTTATTTGATAAAAGTTCCATTAACAAATAAAATTAACAAGGCTGATGTCTTGAAATCTTATATTTCCAATAACAGAATATTTATAAAGAATCGGATTTTGCACCTTCAAAATTTATTTAGATAATGTCATCCCATATTGTAAAAGAACTGTTTTTATATGTCACCACAATTTATTCTTGTCTTGTATACGGATACAGATATTAGATTTGACCGTTTTATTGCGGCTCCAATGGAATGGAAATCATTGCTACGTAAATATATTTTTTTAGTACATACATTCCATACACACTATAACACTTCCATAAATAAACACAATTAAAACTTACTGTATTTTTTATTGTATAGGTACATTAATTTTTTTATTAAAATTGAGAAAAATGTGCTTATTTATAAACGAAGAATCAGTAAACAAGTTGTCTTAAATTTTGGCTCTATTCACACATAAATTTTCTATGTTCAATGTTAAGGTAAGTTTCCACAGCTGTAAAAGCTTACCTTAACAGCTGTCAAATTAACTTGCATTTTGAATCGCATTAGTATGTGTTTGTTTTTGTCATAAGGACTAAAGTAACGGGAACTAAAATAACACTTTACTCCCTGTAAATAGGGGCTAAATCAGTATTAACCAACCTTAACTTATCTAAAAATAACCCTAAACAGAATAACTTTACTGATAACATAAAGAAACACAACTAGGAAAGCTGCCGACAACAACTGGATCTTCAATTTCCTCTTGAGCTTCTTCCTGCCCTCGGCCAGAGTGGACATTGGGTCCTTCATTATGTACACCCGCAAACCTCTGGCGAAATTGGAGAAGTAGAGCTCCCAATTTATCGTCAGCACGTCGAAGTTGAACAGCTCTCTGTCCTTGAAAGACATTCTCTTCAAGAGCTTTTGGGCATTGTCGTTGGAGATGTACCACTGCTTGAAGAAGTATGGGCTTGCTTGTTCCTGGAGATGGTGAAGTCTCTTGTACCCCTCAACTATCCTGTAATTTGGAAATCAGTGTTTGTGAAAACAAGGCAACAAAATGTAAATGACCTAGGAACCAAACTATACTTTCTCGGCGAATTTCGACACGCTTAATCATGTTGCACCATCAGGTTTTCAAGATATCCTAGCCTAAAAGTGAGAAAACACTGTTTTTCACTATATTTGAAGTAATATTGCCTCAAATGTTAATTTTTCTGAGCTAGGACTCGGAATCAACGCACAATCCCTCCGGAAAAGTATAATCTGGTTTAAAAAGTAAAAGAATAGTTTACATGACCTATACTCATTTGTTATAGCAATTATTATAAGTCTATTATGTTTGCTGATATTATGCTTGATTGTTTTATATTCAAAGTGGTGGCACGGACAATATAGCTTATCGCCAAGCTATTTTGTCTGTGGTGGTGGTATAGTGTTTACGAAGATAGTCGGCATCTCTTTGCCGATTTTTAGTTTTTATATACCGTTTCAACTATGTTCGTAAACACTATAACTTTAAATTCGACCAAAACCTTATAATAAAAGTGCCACAAATGTAGCATACAGTAACAAGTTATTAAAGAATTAATTGAATAAAAAACCTGTTTAATATAAATTCGTTTGAGTTTTATGCACAATGTTAATCTACCACTTTAATCGTTGAATATTGGTTAGTTCCTAAACTGATCAAAGTTCCATCTTATTTGTTAATTACCTTATTTCATATTAATTTAATTAATGGTAACGATACAAGTTTAATTAGTTACAAAGTTAAAGTTTTAGATAATTATAAAACTGTTATTGAAGTTAGTCCTAAAATGCGTAATGGCTATTAAAATAAATTATTTTTCATGAATGTTAAACGAAAACAACCCAGTTACAGCGTTATAATTGAAATTTGAACATTTACTATAATTCTTTAACACTATTTTTTGTTTTTTTTTTTACTTTTTTGATTCTAATTTATGTTAAAAACGACGAAAATATATATAATGAGATGAAATCAAATTATTGATAGCAATTTATAAGTTTAAATTAAAATTTTACTTGAATAAGACACGGTGAAGAGAAAAAGGTTGAAATAATTGTTGTAAAACTTAGAAAAAATATTTGAGCAAAAAAATTGTTAGTATTAAATAGGTTATTGTGAATTATTATCGGAGAGTCGTATTACTAGAGCAGAATAAATTTCAAAGATTTAAGTATAAAAAACACTATCATTTTGGTCAAATAGCGTACATGCTAAAAATAAAGTTGGATTCACAAGTCAAAATATTACATATGAAAGTAGGAAAAATAAAAATTGGGGCGGATTATTGACTAGTTACGAAAGAATTTGTCAGAGAGAGGTGTTGAAAAGAAGTAAAGTGGGGAAAACCCATATAAATAGAAATAATTATAATGGAAAATAGTAAGATAATTAAAGTTAGTCAACCAATATAAACAAAATTTAAAGTTGAGCCAAAAAAGGATTAAAAAGTCCATTCTCTTAAAAAGGACTCCAATAAGATTCCAGGACGAGATTCCAGACGCATAAAAGTAAGCAGCAGGTTCCAGCTATCCATTAACTGCAGGAAGACGAGGAATCCAGGACGATATCCAGGTCGAGTATAAGAGGGCAAGCAGTTCGACAGTAAAATTTGACAAGATATACGTAGAGGTAATTTTGTGCACAAAGAATTACAAAATCGTATAAGATAAAGCTAGCTAGCAAAAGGGATTGATAAAAATAAACTCAAAAGTAATAAAAAAAACCTATAGGACCAATATAATAAAATTTAAAGTAGCCTTTCCTGAAAATAAATTTGAAATAAATACAAATTCTTCATCCCTGATAGATATTAAATAAATTTAACTTCACTATACAAATAATTATAAAAATTTTTGGCCATATTAAAATTTTGATAGATATTAAGTATTAAAGTAAGCATAGTAACACATTGACAAAGAAATTTTATCGCCTTATGTATAAGCCAACCAACCAACAGTACACTAACAAATCGATTTGGATACCACTATATGAAAAATTCTCAAGATGTCACAAAAGTGCTATAAGATAATTCCAAATATTCCTGAAATTGTGCTTGATATATCACAGTTATAATTGATTGTTATATAAAAAAAATAAACTAATAAATAAATTAATTTCTGAATAATGTCTTTTGTTTAGTGTGGTGTATTGCTTGGTTTTCTGCATAGTTTTAACTTCACTAGAACTCACTACTGAGAAGGGTCGAAAGCTAGCCAGGGTATAATTGACAACTTAAATTATAGCATAAATATATACACAACAGGATCATTATTATATTAATTACACAAATAAATTACATACACATACATATTACTACTCATAACCAATATTGGCGCATACATATTGGTGGTCCCGAGGTAATGGGCCAAAATTCATGGGTAGATTCCCCAAGTAAAAATATTACGATTTAGCCGAACTTACCTTAGTCCAAAAGTTTTGTGTAAAAAACGATGAAAAATAAGAATTTGTTACCAAAGATGAGATACCTTAAAGTACAAAAAAGTTATGTTGTTTTTAACACATTCAATCTGCTGCAGCTAGCGCCCTCTATGAACTATAACCAATTTTTTAACAAATTTCAATTCCTCTATCTAAAGAACCCCAAACCTCAACATTTTGTGTAGATATTTGCATTTATTAAGAAATAAATGGAAACAAACTAAAATAATATTTTACATTTAACACTGTATCTCTTCTCTGTATCTCTTTAACTATCAACTTTTGGACTAAGGTAAGTTCGGCTAAATCGCAATATTTTTGCTTCGGGAATCTACCCATATATCCATTACCTCGGGACCACCCTGTATAAAAAATATTTAAGTTTGACCGGTTATAACTCACAATCAGTCAAATTAGTCCAAAAACTTTAAAAAACGCATCAATTTGAAGGGAATCTCATCTAGTTTTTTTTGTACAACAATTTTCTTTGTCTACTTCTACTAAAGAAAAAAAATAGTCAAAAAAGTAAAATAAATCAAAAAACCTTATTTTTTACTTTTCTTTAAATTGTTTATTAACGATTTTTTGCATAACATTTTTCTTTTAAATTTTTTAAGTAAGCCACTTCGATGGGAAATTCAGTTCTCTACAAAATTTTTCCTATTATACCGAAATTTGGCTTCGTTTTCGGTGCTATATTTAAAAACTGCAAAAGTGCATTTTCACCCCTATCTTTAATTTCAACCCTCTAATTTAATAGCACCCCACGGTTTTTTCATTTTTAATGATCCTTCGAACAAGTCGTGATGAAAATCCTTGAATGAATCCCTCCTTTTTTGCAACAATGAGAATTAAAACGTATAAGGGTAAAAGCGACGAAAATCGAAAAATTGGCTAAGTTTGAGGGGCCATCTATCAGTCAATTCTCATCCAAAAATTCTGTATAACCTCTTTTTTTGAAGGAAATTTTATCTGCTTTGTTTATGAAGCGATGCTTATATCTATCTTTACTCAAAAAAAACTTAGGGGCAAAAAGTTAATAAAATATATAAAAAAATTTGCTTTCAAATTGTTATTAACGATTTTTTGCATAAAATTTTCCTTTTAAATTTTTTAAATAAGCCATTTCGATGAGAAATTGAGTTCTCTAAATAATTTTTCCTATGAGCTATAGCGAAATTTTGCTTCGTTTTCGAGCTACAATTAAAAAACAGAAAGGGGTGCATTTTCACCCCTATCTCCAATTTCCACCCTCTAATTTAATAGCACTCCGCGGTTTTTTCATCTAAAATGGCCCTTTGAACGATTCATGCAATAAAATTGCTTGAACGGCATAGTTTCTTTTAACCCTGTTTTTTTAGATATAATCAGTAGCCTATAGGGAGGGCGGAAAAATTTAGATACAAAACATTAAAAATAAAGTCAAAATACAATTGGGTAGTTTTATTTTAAGTACAATTGAAATATAGGGAAAATGTGATCAACATTATTTTTTATAGTGAAGTCCATTCTTTTGCTTTTGTCCGAAATAAATTTTTCAATTATTTTTTCGTTAAGGTTTGGTATTTCTCACACCAATCGATAGCATTGCAAATGCTATTAGTCTGTCTTTACAATCTAATTTAAATTTTTACGATCTTTTAAAAAACACGCAAAAACAATACGTAGGTAACAAAATATTACACCACAAGTAAACAAATTACATTTAATAAGAAAAAAAGCGGTGAAATAGCTTTTATTCGGTTACGGACGGACTAAAGAGAGCCCATAGTAAATATGCGATACTCACGATACTCCCATTCCGTCTTTCACTGCTGCGCGACGGTAACCGTGACCACCGCTGTAAACACTGCAGATTTAAGGGCGAGCTACGAGCCACGTATTCACTGATTTGAAAGATCAAATGAATTTTGCATGTCGAGTTGAATTGACTGCATGTTACAAATTTAACATTTATTTAATTATCTTGATTTTTTACTACGAAAGTTCCTAGGGAGAGGGGCGACGCCACAGATCCCCCGTACCAGCCGTTGCTGTGTCTGTAATTATTTTTTTTTCATTTTCGTTTCTTTTACATTCTTTTCTTCATTCCAATTTGGTAAAAGGTCATAAAAACCCTCTGTATACTTACGTTGAATTTCTTCCGGCTAGTTTCGAACGCATATCACACAAAAAGCCCATGAAAGTGTGAAAAATAAAAGTTAACAATTTAAAATTGTAGTAGCAAGCTGTGTTAAACGTTAGAGGCAACCGGATCATCTTGGCAGATGGCACTTCTCTGCTTGCTGTCTCTGTAACTCCCATCCATTCATCTAAAAACACAACTTACTTGTAAAGGAAGTAGCAGTTCGGATTGGCATCTCTTATGACAAAGTTAACATAAAAAAACATTTTTTTGACATCAGTCTAAAAATCCGTTTTAAAAATTGTAATTTTTTTAATTTCATCTTATTTTTGTTGTCAAATACTTCACGTCTGTTATATTCGTGTAGAGTGAATACCAGTCGTGAAGTAAATGTGGATGTGAACTAATTGGGTTCCTGAAAATTTCGAGGTAGTAAAATATGATATCTAAAGCTTGACACTTTTTTAATCCTGAATAAACAATGCAGATATGAAAAATACATATACTCTTTTTTTGTTCCACTTAACGAAAATTTAATAAATTTGTTTATTTTCCTTAAAAATATACTTGCGACAATCAGGCCGAGTATGTATCCCATTTTATCATAATAACAGTTACGTTATTTCAGGGTTAAACGTTAAGGTTAACGTTAACTGTTAAGATATAACGTGCACGTTATTGAGAAATTAAGACTATTTTTAGCAAATACTCGTATTGCAATTTTGTTGTTTTTTGAAGACGCTTTTGTGTCCACATTTTTAATAATAATGCAAAATTATTATAAACAAGAGTCAGTATTAGACAAAAACACATATAACTGACAGATGTCTTTTAGGTTATGTTATGAAACATGAAACAATTGCAAACTCGTAAATAACGGGTAAGTACGACATAAAATAGTCTGTAACACGTTATCTTAAATTATCACAGTTTCTTAAAGGCAAGGAATTTGGTGTTGCTATAGTTTAACGTACGTGTTATTTGTCTAATGAAAATGAACGGCTTGTTAAATTTACATTTACTTGCCGGTTTTATAAACGCACATCGAAGGTAAGTTGTAAAATTTAAGCAACTTAGGTAAGTATTTACCCTAAAATTATTGTTAGGCTAAATCAAACGAAGAAGGATCTAACAAGGAAACTACCCCAACCCGAACTCTCCATTTCCAATATTTTTATATATGTTGTGACTCGGTTGTAGAACATAAAAAATTAAATGACATATTTTTTTATCGGCGGAAAAACATATTTAGGGGGTGAAATACATCCTCAAAGTTCGACCCCCAAAACAGTTTTTTCTAAATATCTGGGGTTCTAATCAATATTTTGGAATGAAAAAAAATGGAAATTGCTTCTTATAAAAAAACAAATGTTTCACATTAGATTCCGTGTTTGGAGGTTGCTACCCTTATTTTTTATTTCAGAAAAACTATATTTTTCAAACATTTTTTATATATAAAAAAATTCATATTAAAAAAAATAAAAAATATGATTTATGTAAACAAATTGACAAAATAAAGTTCTCTTTTTAGGGGGTGAACAACCCTCTAGTGTGCTAAAAATGTCTGTACGATTAGAATTAACATTGCAAAATAAAAAGTTTTTACTTTTTCTCTAATCATACGAATAATTTGTTCTATTAGCCGCAAACAGATTTAAACGGATGCAAACTACCCCTCATGTTCACCCCCAAAAACAGTATTTCTGTGACATCTCAATATTTTGAAATGAAATAAAATGGAAATTACTTCTTTTAAAAAAATAAAATGTTTCACAAGTGATTCCGTGTTTGGGGGTTGCAACCCTTATTTTTTATTTCAGGAAAACTAAGTATATTTTCAAACATTTTTTATATATAAAAAATTCATATTGATTCAAAATATTAAAAATATGATTTATGTAAACAAATTGACAAAAATAATTTCTCATTTTAGGGGACGAACAACCCCCTAGTAATCCCCTAGTGTGCGAAAAATGTCTTCTGTTTTTTTTCTTGGTCTAAAACGGATTTAAACAGATGCAAACTACCCCTGCTGCTCACCCCCCAAAAACAGTATATCCGTGATATCTCGGGTTCTAATAAATATTTTGGAATGAAACAAAATGGAAATTACCTAACCCGTTTTTGAGGGATGAATATCAGGGGTAGTTTGCATCGTTTAAATCCGTTTTAGACCAATAGAAAAAATTATTTGTGAAATATCTGTCTTTTTATAAGAAGTAATTTCCATTTCGTTTCATTCCAAAATATTGATTAGAACCCGAGATGTCACAGAAATACTGTTTCTGGGAGTGAACATGAGGGGTAGTTTGCATCCGTTTAAATCCGTTTAAGGCTAATAGAACAAATTATTGGTATGATTAGAAAAAAAGTAAAAACTTTTTATTTTGTAATATTTATTCTAATCGTATAGACATTTTTCGCTCTCTAGGGGGTTGTTCGAGAACAAACGTTATTTCTAGCATAACGTTTTAGCGTAAATGGGATACACTCGGCCTGAATGTCTGGTAACATTATGACGTCATTAAATTTATCCGGCTAAAAGGACCAAATCGACTCTCATCTGTAACTTACCACTGGTTAACGGTTTTTCTTGAGAGGTAGTGCAATGGTATACTAGCACCTCAGTACTTGTAATGTCGCCCCTTTTCTTTCTCAGTCTGAAACATAGTCAGTTAAAATATTTGCTTTTTAAGATGGATTTGTACACGTACTTTTGAAGTCCAGCGTACCACCCTGAAGCGATCAATTGACTGACGACGTAGTCTACAGGTATCACGTCTAGATTGCCATTTTTGTAGTAATTCACCCTGTTGACGCCCAAGGCGTTAGCCACGGCTAAGCCAGAGAGGGAATATACGTTTTCTACGTACCCAGCACAAGGTTCCTCGACAGCAGGTATTACTGAAAGTGAAATGACGATTTATATTGGAATGATGCATAGGTTCAGATCGTTTTTGGCTTCCATGGCAAGAGTGCCTTGGAAATCAACTCTCTGACATACAGGGTGTTCAGGATTAAGTCGACAAACTTTAAGGAGATATTTCTCATAAAAAAAAAATAAGAAAAAAATCAGATATAAATTTTTTTCCAGAGACGCTTCAGTTTCGAAATATAGGGCGTTAAAGATTTTTTAAAAAAATCGAATTTTTTAAATAACTTCTAAATGAAGAAGGCTATTTAAGGCAAATTTGGCATGACACATCTTCCTATAAAATACCATTTTTCCATAGAAGTAGAAGTCCCGCAAGCAACCAGTAGCGGAGTTATGGGGGACTCATTAAATTATATAAAAAAATTAATACGGCCTACTGAAAGTAAAAAATGATGCTGTTTTAGGTAGAACAGTGTGTTATTGACAAAAAGTGTACATTCACTTTTTTCCTAACTCTTATAGTTTCATGGCAAAATTGATTTTTCAGAAGGGTGCTTCTGGATTCTGTCGTTCCTCATAAAACCTAAAAAAGTACAGTACCTATTAAAATTGGTCATAGTATGTGTGAGTCAAATAAACCTTTTTGTCTCCCCTTCCCTTGGGTTTAACCAATAGTATTAAAATTATTTAGATGTTTCGGGTGTTTTTTTAGAAAAAAAAATGATGAAAACAATAGAAGTATTTAAGTACCTAACGTCTAAAGTGACTATGTTGTAATGCGACAACGTAACGACCCTTGCAATACTCCTAAATTTTTTCAGGCGGTTTGTAGTGACTTCATTTACTTGTGTTGTATGTGTACTTTTAAATAAAATAAGATCGCAAACAATACATGAAAATTTATTTGTAAATTGAAACAACCAAAAAATTACCAATTAATATTATACCTAGGCAAAGCGAAAAGTGAATCAAAAATGAAATGATTTAAAAAATATTTTGTTCAAAATGGGCGCCTCCGGACTGTAGACAAGCACGACATCTTCTAATTATGGAGGTAGTGGCCGATCGACACTGAATTGGAGTTAATTCTCGACACGCTTGGACTATTCGCTGTCTTAGATCTTCTAGGGTATCAACTGGCACCTCGTAGACTTTTTGTTTAACAGCACCCCAAACGAAATAATCCATCGGTGTCAAGTCCGGTGAACGTGCGGGCCACGCTGCAGGTCCTCCACGACCAATCCATCTCCTGGGATAATTAATGTTTAACCACTCCCTAGGACCTCTACCAAAATGGGCAGGACAACCATCTAGTTGAAACCAACTGTTCATTCGAGTATTAAGCGGAACATCTTCTAACAGATCTTGAAAACCATTTTCAAGGAACTCGGTAAACATGTCAGCATTTAACCGATGCGGAAGGAAGTAGGGACCAACTATAGTGTTGTCCAACACACCCAACCATACGTTACATTGGAATTCATGCTGAAAACTATGTTCCCTTACCGCCCGTGGATTCTCGTAGGACCAAATATGGTTGTTCCTTTGGTTTAAAATTCCCCTTCGAGTAAATGTTGCCTCATCTGTCCACATTACTTTTTGCGTAAACTGATCATCATTCTCTGCTTGGTTTAACATCCAGTCACAAAACACGTGCCTGCATCGTATGTTCTGAGGCAATAAATGTTGCACACGCTGGATATGGTACGCATGGCGATCATCAGCCCGAAGAGTCCTCCAAATGGAACTTGACGAAATACCTAGCTCATAGCTAGATCTTCTGACACTCGTGGATGAATTTTCATCAAAACAAATTATACTTGATTTTTTTCTTATTTTTTTATGAGGAATATTTCCTTAAATTTTGTCGACTTAATCCTGAAACACCCTGTATATTAAAGTTGTTCTAATATCATACTATTGTTTAATTGAGTAGTCTTTGAACTTATGAGTATTTGCAGAGATTGTATGAATTATTTGCAAAAGAAATGGAGTGTTATGTAGAAAAAAACTGGCATTTCTGACATATCCTTTTGTTTGACATCACCTGAGGTGTTTAGGCAACGGGAGGTTCTAGAAGCAATTGTGCCGGTTACGTAGAAAATCTAACAGGGGAAAGTACACCAAGAAAATGTTTTTCAACGCTTAAGAGAATGTGACTTTGACGAAGGTCTTTCGGATGACTTTAATTCATGATATCCACGTCAGTCAGTCCGGGAATTGGCCAGTGTGATACAGTGACCAGTCGATCAAAATACATTTGTAAACATGAGTAAATATCATCAAGAATTAGATACATAGGTACCGCATGTTTTAAGCAAAAACCCCAAAAATAAGCCTCTATTTACTGGCTCGTCATCACTGATGATTGTCATCAATATCATCGACCGTTTTTGTCCCAGTTGGTTACTGATGAAAAATGGCGCCTTTATATCAACACGAAAAACATAAAAGAATGATTTTGACAGAAAGGCAACTCCTTCGAGTAGAAACTGGTACCATCTTCGTAAGTTAATGTGCATCTGCTGGGATAAACAAGGCGACGTCTGCTATGAATACCCCGGCATCTTGACGTCGCAATTAAAAAAAAAACGAGAAGACGTTATAAAATGATTTTGCAGCATGATGAGCGCTCCCCTTATATTGCTAATGCCACGAAAGCAGCTATTCAGGAGCTCGTTTAGAAGGGAATTCTAAATCCGCCATATTCTCCTGATATTGTTCTACCAGATTAACGACATCACGTTTCGAAATTGGCTTTCAGAATTATTCACCTCCAAGCCATCGAATTTCTTCAGGGGTGGAATAGAAAAAATGCCAGATCATTGTGAGATCATCGTAAACAATGATGGAGAATATATCATTGGTATTTTTCTTATTAATTTATCTATTTTTTTAATTAAAACGAAACTTTGAATTCAATAAAAATGCTAGGAGTTAACCCAACAGATTAAGGTGTAACGGTAAAGCTGGATAAAACCTCAGAGAAAACTCAAATTTTTTTTGTTAATGTTTTCTCGCCTTTATTCAGACCCCTTCAAGGCATAAAATCAGGATTAATGAACCTACATGTGAACTAATTGAATATTGAAATGTGGTAAAATTTATGAAACCTAGACGATAAAGGATTTAGTTTTTTTGAAGTTTATTTGTTGAAATAATCTATACTTACTATGAGCTGCTCTTATCATACTAGTCGGAATGTTTTTGCCTTCTTCTTTCATCACTCCTTCTGCTACTTGCTTTGTAAAGGTGTAGTTATTAGGCCAGTCAGATAATAAGCTACAAATCAAAGTTTATGTAAAAATATCGAAGTTTATTAATGTTCTGCTTCACAATTAGTGTTGTTTTGGGGTCAGAACCACCCACAATAAACAGTTCTTACAAAAACAAATATATCTTAAGTATCCTGAGCTTTATGATAATTAAGGTATCTAGGCTGTTATAGGAATAATACCATACCGAAGTCGGCAGTGTACTTTGGCTCGAAAGGATGTATGTACGTCAACTTAGGGAGTAATTATCCTATAACACTCTTGGTGCTTTCTACGTTTAATCGTTAAAAACCAATGGTGTAATGACCTACTAATTTCTTATTTTTTTATGTAAGCTGGTTTGGCATTTAATCTGTACTTATTATAATTGTTACTTATAATTTCTATTTTTTTATCCATTCATTTCCTTGAAAATACGTTTTAATTTATTCAAAATAGGGTATTTATTACAAAATAACTATAATAGTAGGACATTACAAACTGAATACTATAGTGGCAAAATTCTATGTAGGCTACTGATTACAGTTAACTTACCTCAATTGAACTTGCTCCAAAATAGTATCATTTAGCGCGTTCGCTACGTTGATAAGGTTTTCTCCTGATATTTTCGATTCGTATATCTCCTCATGGATCTCAAATTTTGTGAAGTTGGAGAAAATCGTTGAAATAAACACGAAAGCCTTAAAAATACGTCAGTTAGCAAACGCTCCTACTTGGTTGAAAAATTATGCCGAAGGACATACAGAGGAATCTTTTACAAATACACTAGACATGGCAGATAAAATATTTAGATGGGGGAGAGACGAAGAGTTTGTTAGTAGCAGTAATATTGTCGAAAATTAAATAATTAACAACAATAATGTCGCCGACTTATCGGGTAATGTTTAATGGTTGTACAATCCGCAACGTAACTATAAATATAAATAAATACACAGCCCCACAAAAGAAAAAAAGTATCGGATCTGGTGTTCAGACTCATGTATTTCCATGTATTTTTTTCCGCTGAATCCGAATCTGCCTTCAGATTTGGCCCAAGGGGTCTGAGTTTTCGGGAAAATTCAAAAAACAGGTCAAAATTCACAAAAAACGTCATTTACGATCGACGAAAGTTATGAAAAATAAAATTATTCTACCAGCTCACTACACGTATGATTTTTCACTTGTTTAATTCCAATTTATTCCATCATAGATTCAGACAAGATGGTCCAATTTCATTTAAAAACAGAAAATATATCAAAATTTTCAACAAGTTTTCGCCCTATACTTATATATAAAGGGCGAAAATTTCCGAATATTGCTGAGGCGAAATTGAAAGAAGGTGTATTCGGACATTGTTCAAGGATGCAACATTCATCACTACAATGAGTAGCGTTGAGAAGGAAACAATAAGAGTCCCAAATACGAAGAAATTGTATTAAAATTGATAAAAGACTTCAAAGACGGGGGATGTTTGATGGACTACAAGTTGCACTTCCTTCATNATATTGTCGAAAATTAAATAATTAACAACAATAATGTCGCCGACTTATCGGGTAATGTTTAATGGTTGTACAATCCGCAACGTAACTATAAATATAAATAAATACACAGCCCCACAAAAGAAAAAAAGTATCGGATCTGGTGTTCAGACTCATGTATTTCCATGTATTTTTTTCCGCTGAATCCGAATCTGCCTTCAGATTTGGCCCAAGGGGTCTGAGTTTTCGGGAAAATCAAAAAAACAGGTCAAAATTCACAAAAAACGTCATTTACGATCGACGAAAGTTATGAAAAATAAAATTATTCTACCAGCTCACTACACGTATGATTTTTCACTTGTTTAATTCCAATTTATTCCATCATAGAGTCAGACAAGATGGTCCAATTTCATTTAAAAACAGAAAATATATAAAAATTTTCAACAAGTTTTCGCCCTATACTTATATATAAAGGGCGAAAATTTCCGAATATTGCTGAGGCGAAATTGAAAGAAGGTGTATTCGGACATTGTTCAAGGATGCAACATTCATCACTACAATGAGTAGCGTTGAGAAGGAAACAATAAGAGTCCCAAATACGAAGAAATTGTATTAAAATTGATAAAAGACTTCAAAGACGGGGGATGTTTGATGGACTACAAGTTGCACTTCCTTCATGTGTGGGTTTTATAGGTGGTATAGGGGGATGGATAAATATGCGTATTCAGGCATGAACGATTGGATAGAAAGATGTATGAATTCATAAATGGGTGGGTGGATAAAAAATGGATCCAGAACTCTGCAACACGAATTATGCCATGAAAATGGCGTTTTAAAGCATTTTGATCTATTTTCCGTTTTTGCATGAAATTGGACCAGCTTGTCTGACTCTATGATGATAAATTGGAATTAAACGAGTGAAAAATCATACGTCTAGTGAGCTGGTAGAATAATTTGACTTTTTATAACTTTCGTCGATCGTAAATGACGTTTTTTGTGAATTCTGACCTGTTTTTTAAATTTTCCCGAAAACTCAGACCCGTTGGGCCAAATCTGAAGGCAGATTCGGATTCAGCGGAAAAAATACATGGAAATACACGGATCTGATTACCCGATACTTTTTTGGTGGGGCTGTGATAGTTATAATAAACGTTTATCCAACACTTGTATATAATGATACTATAATTTCTTTGGTTTTAAGGGAATATTGTGGCCTATAAGTCACTAGTGAGTTATAAGTCATAAGTCACTAGTAAGTTATGACTTATAACCCATTAGTGACTTATAGAAATCATAAAAAGACAAATGTTTGGTTTATTTTTCTAGTTTTTATTAAAAAAACAATTTGAAACAGTCAACAAATAACCTAAAATGCTACAAACTTACAATCTACCTACTTATTAATATTAACATTAACATTTATGGGAAAGCCGTTATTTAATGCCAAAGGATTATTGGAATCATTTTGTGATTGTGGTAAATTTATAGAACAGGTTGCCTCTTTGCTTGTGCTTGCTTCACGAGTCTATATAACCTTCTGCCACGGTAGATGACGTCCATCCACCGCGCACCGTGGCGTTTGAATGTTGTAATTGCCCCTCCAGCATTGGCCAAGAGAGTTGCAGATGCGCGACGCAAGCCATGCCCTGTATATAAATTAGAATCTGTCAAGGCCAAAAATCGTGCAACAACATTAGGGATTTTTGATGGCTTATTAATACCAACACATTGACATGTGCATTTTCCCTTTTGAAAATTGCAAAAGAACCTTTTGTGCTGCACATTTTGAGGCCTTAGCTTAGAATATTTGGATTAACACAAACTCCATCATTTAACACAGCCAAGCTTCTTGGTTTGTTCATTTTAGTATTTGAAATCATGATGTGGATATACTGCCCTTTGTCCTCTATATTGTTTATGCTTAGATGGGTTAATTCCTCGCAACGGTAAGCGCCAAAAACTCATAATATCAAGGCCACATAAAAACAATTTAATAAATTTAACTCAGTTAAACTATTCACTAGAACCTACCTTATTCATAAGATGATCTTCGTCTAGGGCTTCATGCAAAAATTGTTCGATTTGTTCTCTTTCTAAGACCTTGGATTTTTTTCGTTGAAAATGTTTGTGCTTAGACTTCAGAAATGCCACTATAACCGATTTTCGAAATTTCAATGTTCTTGTAAACTCTCAAAGTTGACTTCAACATGGAATATTTAGTCCACAATGTGGATGGAGTAATTTCTCACTTAAATAGCCAGCAAGACATCTTCATTTACGCCTTTCACCCCGTCTTTGATTTTCCAATCTTGAAATCGCACAGTAGCCGCATTNGAATATTTAGTCCACAATGTGGATGGAGCTAATTTCTCACTTAAATAGCCAGCAAGACATCTTCATTTACGCCTTTCACCCCGTCTTTGATTTTCCAATCTTGAAATCGCACAGTAGCCGCATTAGCATTTTCTAAAATTTCAGATGGAATTTCCATATTTTCCATTTTTTCGGTTTTGGTTTTAGGATTTCAACGTGATTTCAACTCAAAAAATATTGTTTGTTTACCCTTGGTTGGTTGGATTAAGTTGACACTCGCATCCTTTGTAATATTTAAAAATACATTGATTTTGTTAAATTACTTTATCTGACATTGACCACTTGAAATTTTGAGTCGCTTTTATTTATTATTAAAATGAAATTCTATTAGTTTTGGATAAAATTTTGTATGGCACTCGTGTGTTACATCATATAAGTCACTTCGGAAAATTACATTTCCCAGCGTGACATATATACCGTAACACACTAGTACCATAAATAACTATTAATATGAGGAATACGTTCAATAAATGTTATATGTAACAGGTGAGTCAATGAAACGGGATGATTTAAAAAACTCAGAAAACATTAAAAGAACCATTTTTTGTCAAGTTTATTGATGAAAACATGATCTACAGGAATGGAAGTATTATGTTAGTGCACAATCGTTAATTTTTTAAAAATAATGTCCGAAAGGTGGCCTCCATTGTTTCGCACACATTCTTGCAGCCTCGTTGAAAAGTTCCCCATAACATTGCACAGCATTTCTAGCGGTATTGCGGCTATTTCAAGTCTAATCCTTTCTTTTAATGCCTGGATAGTCCTTGGGGGGTTACTTTGAAACACTTTTGTTTTTAGGTACCCCCAAAGAAAAAAGTCGCATGCTGACAAGTCCGGAGAGCGAGGTGGCCAAGGAATATTGCCATTCTTGCTCATAGGACGACCAGGGAACACCTGTCTTAGTAAACCCATTGACACTTGACGCTGTATGACATGTTGCACCATCTTGTTGGAAAATCGTTGTTTCATTTCTGTAGTTCTCGATTGCAGGAAGAAAAAAATTGTTCAACATATTGACGTAACGATCAGAGTTCACTGTTACAACATTCTCAAAAAAATAAGGGCCGATTATCCCTAACGAAAAAATCGCACACCACACGGTTACTTTCTCTGAATGTAGGGGTCTTTCGTGTAATTCTTGAGGGTTATTGTCTGACCAATACCGAAAATTTTGTTTGTTGACAAAGCCAGTAAGATGAAAGTGGGCTTCATCGCTCATCCAAAGATTATGCAGTACGTTATCGTTTTCATTGATATGCTCTAACGTTTGTTCACAAAACCTTAATCGAGTAGCGTAATCTCGAACGTTGAGAGATTGCACAATCTGAATTTTATATGGATGATGGTGAAGGTCTTTATGCAAAATTCTTCTTGTGGTGCTGTAGGTTAGTCCGAGATTTAAGCTTCGTCGTCGAACGGATCTTCGTGGACTCTCTTCCAATGAATTACGAACCGCTTGAATATTCTCTGGCGTGCGCACAGTTCTAGCACTTCCACCTCTTTTTTTTGTTGTTGAACCACTGCTTTCAAAGTTACTTACCCACGTTTGAATAGCGTTGTTAGATGGTACACGAGCGCGAGGCGGCAAACGGTAATGTAAACGAAACGCTCGTCTCACACGGACGTAACTCTCC